CAGCGGCGGCCCCGCGCGACCCTTTGTGACGCCCGCCGGCCGCACGGGCCCTGCGGCCCCCGCGGGCGCAGCCGGCGCCCCCGCGGCCCGGCCCGGCCCGCTCCACCTTGATGCGGTTCAGGACCCCGCTGTTCTCCAGAGTCTGCACCAGCAGGTCTCGCAGCTCCGTGTCCTCCTCCGGCACCACCGCGGCCGCCGCCGCCGCCATCTTGCTTCTCCAAGACAACCGCCCAAGCCGCGCCAACGGCCAGCGGCCGCCGCAGGTTCCGCACGCCGCGCGGCGACGCGGCCGAGACCACGCCCCCCGCCCCGGCGCGAAGCCCGCCCCGGCGTCGGGGGCGGGGCCCCCGTGTCCGTGGGGGGCGGGGCCTGCGGCTGGGGCGGGGCCGGGTGGCAGTGGCTGGCCTCCGCTGACGGCGAGTTTCGAGGGCGGCGGGGAGAGTGGCCACGCGGCACTGCGGTGCCTCGTCATTAAAATTGGATTACATCGCACGCATGAATAAATTGTGTGCTGTGAACGTTAGACGTGTTCGCACAGGTTGAAAGGGACGCCCTGTCCTGCTTAGCTGGCCCCGGGCGGGACGGGGCGGGACGGGGCAGGCGGAGATCTGTGTCCGAGGCCGGTGCCTGCTACCCGTGCAGGCACGCTCCAGCTGGGAAAGTCCTGATGTCTGCCTCGTTTCCGCCGTGCTGCCGAAATGTGTGCACATACACGCGGGAATGTGTGTGTGTGTGCACCGCTCACCGCGCTAGAGCCTGCACACACAGGCATGCATGCGTATACATGTAAATGTGCTCAAGAGAGAGCATGTGCAAACATGCGTGTGTGTGCACGCGCTCACCGAGAGACAGCCTGTACATGCATGCATGTGTGCGCACACGCTCACGGATAGAGCCCGTACGTACGTGTGTGTGTGTGTGTGTGTGTGTGTGTGTGTGCGCGCACGCGCTCACAGGGAGCCGCGGGAGCATGTACTGGATACGCCTGAAGCGGGTAGAGGGAGCTTTCCTACTCAATGTCAGTCACAGGAACAGTTCAGTCGGTTACAGATCTCAGGAGAATAGAGGTCCACAGGGGACAGAATCATCAATTACAGGCCCCAACAAGAAAAACTGTACACTGCACCTCCTACAAAAAAATCCACCACAGCTGCAATTCAGCCAATGAGAAATCATCCCCACCCTGACCTCTTGCTTTCTCCAAAGGACTTTGGTTCAAAACAACCCCTTCCAATTTCCTCCTTCTTCATAAAATAATGTTCCTCTCCTTTGGGGGACTTGCCCATGGTTTTGCCATAGCTTGCATGTCCTAAATTGCAGTTCTCTGTTATTCCCAAATAAACCCATTTTTGCTGGTAAAAAACAAAACCAAAACAAAACTGACTTCTATTTTTGAGGTTATCAATACATGGGTGTGTGTGTATGTGCACGTGCACACAGAGTGTGCATGTTTACACTGGAGTACAATGCAGGTTACATATGGATGTTCAGCATGCTATTGTACTCTTCTGCAATGTTTCAATAGTTTTTCTATTGCACTGCATGTTTCAACAGTTTTTCAATAACATGCTGGGAAAGTGAGGGAACCCCAAACTATGAGGAAGCTAATTAAGAAAAAGTGCAGATTCTGGAAACCCTACCCTAGGCACCCTCCCTGGGTCTGCGGTAGGTCCTAGGAATCTTTTTAAAACCCCAGGTGATTGTAATGCCAGTGGGGGGGGGGAGCGGGGAGAGGGGTCTGCAGATTATCGTGTAAAGGAAGAAAGCAGAAGTGGAGATTTTCCACCTTGCCCGCTGCTCTTTTCCCCACTAGCAGCATCTGTTAAAATTGGTATATGTCTTTCCAGACAACCTTATATAGAAATATGTTCCAGGGCGCCTGGGTGGCTCAGTTGGTTGGGCAACTGCCTTCGGCTCCGGTCATGATCCTGGAGTCCCGGGATCAAGTCCCGCATCGGGCTCCCTGCTCAGCGGGGAGTCTGCTTCTCCCTCTGACCCTCCTCCCTCTCATGCTCTCTTGTCTCTCATTCTCTCTCTCAAATAAATAAATAAAATCTTTTAAAAAAAAAAAAGAAAGAAATATGTTCCATACACACATACTTCTCCCCTTGCATAATTTGCATCCTAGGCTTACTTTTTAATTTACTAATTCCACTTAACAAATCCTGACCACCTTTTGATATTTGTACACACAGATTCTACCTCCTTCTTTAACTCCCGTGTAGTATTCTGTGGAGGGGTACTCCAAATACGAGTTTTTGTAATTACATTAGGGTTTGTTTGCATTTGTTCTGCTTGTTGCGGAACTGATGGTTAAAAATCCGAACAAAATGCACTTGTGATGAGCACCGGGCAATGTATGGAAGTGTTGAGTCACTAAATCATACGCCTGAAACTAATACAACACTGTATGTTAACCAACTGGAATTAAAATAAAAATTTTTTTTAAATCTATTGTCCTAACACTGAGACTATTTATCATTAAGTATTTACAAAATATTTTTGAGGAATCTATCAAAAAAATCCAAACAAAATGGGAAAATATTAAAAGAAAATAACGGTGCCCACATCTTTCCTGCTCACCCACCCCTCACCCAGTCCCACACTCTAGACCCTCCCACCATTAAGTTTGTTTTCGTTCTTCTGCTTCTTCTTATAACTCTGAATGCTATACTCCCACATCTTCGCTCATCAACCATGAACGGTGCCTTCCAAAGAATGAAAATTTATCACCCAACTTCTATTTCTTAAAATTATATTACTTTTAATTTTACTGGTGAGGATTTTGTGACTTTCAATTGTCTATCTGTATCACCGTTTATCCACGCTACACGTCACCTATGCCTTTGAAATGGACTTTGCCCCGCACCATGGGCCCATCTCCAACTGCCAGCACCTGAGATGATTTGCCTGCTGGCTTTTCTGGCCACCGGAGCCTGCTCTGTCTGCGTTTGGGGAAGGCCTGAAGCGCCAGGGAAACACTCTCTCCTGAGGGCACCTCGGGCCACGAGTGCATGAGGGCCCTCAGTTCGTTACCCAGTGGGACGAGGTTCTCTGCTAGCCCCCATGGTTCAGGTCTGAGCTCCCGCTGCCTGGAAATCTACTGGATAGCGCAGCCTTTACTGGTTTCCTACCTGCCCTGTCCCATTACCCCCACTCCCCCTCCCATGTTTCCCAGGCCTTCCCCTCGAATGCACTGTTCACACTCAAATCCTTATCTTGTGGTCTGCTCCTGGGGCACTCGAACCAAGACAGTTAGTCCAGACTCATTCCCCAGGGATGGGGCTCAGGAACTGGATCGCCCACCAGCCAGATGGCAGCAAGGGGCCACTGCGCCTGTACGTGGGGTGGCCACAATCCCAGCACCAGCGCAGCAGCTTGCTGGTCAAGGACTAAGTGGGGGAGGGTGCGCAGAAGGGGGACACCGGCTTGGGCCATCTCTCTAGCATCGGAGATGAGCACAGTGGTCATTTTAAAGATTCTGGAGTCAGGTTTGTTTTTTTTAATGATATCAAAGTGCTGAAGGAAGAAGATGACAGGTTCAAGTCAGCCAACTCTCAACCTAGGGCATGGTGTAGAAACTACTCTTGTGAGCCAGAAACTCCCAGGATACCACAGCTGCAGCTAGAAATCCCCCACAGTGGGAAACGCTATGGAGATGAGCAAATGTTACGAATTAGGGCTTTTTTTTTTTTTTTAACAGAGGGCCAGTTGTTAAGTATTTACTAGCATACCTTTGCATTCACTAGGCTTCCTGAACCCAAGGATTCATACTGTTGGTTCATTTGCAAAGCCTCTAGACCTCTCTAAGCTTCAGACTCCTACCTTAGCTGTGAAGTATTCACCCATCTCACAGAGTTTTGTAATATAAAATAAGGCAGTTTGTTGGAAATCACATCTATTTCCTGATATCGAGAAAAGACTTAACGAAAAGTTGGCTTTTGAGATTGACCCTAAGGAGAGCCATTAAATCAGAAATAAAGGTCATTCCGACCATGAAGGTGAACACGAGTAAGAGAAGGGGCTGGGAAGTAGGGCCCATGTTGGCAAATGTAGGACCCGATCTGTCAGAATCAGCACACGTGAGAGAAAATGGGAGGAAATGACTACCTGTAGACTTTAGGTGGGGGAGAGCCAAGAGCTGCAGGCAGGGGAAACTGAGGAATGGAACCGAAGTTCATATCAGTGGCAGAAGCGCAGGGCGAGTGGGTTCCACGCAGATAATGGTGGGTTATTTGGGGAAGGAAGATGAACCTAGGTTTGGATATCCGGAGGGCAGTATGGAACTCACTTGTCAGCACCTGCCGTTGAACCCTGGCTGTGGAAGGTGGTAAGAAGACAACATCAGGTTCCTTCAGTCAAGGAGCTGGCAGGCGCAGACATCCAGAGAGATGACAAACTCTCCTGACCCCTGTGAAGACTCGGAGGAGGGCTCTGGCGGGGAGAGGGCAGTGTTGGCTTCCTGAAGAGGCAGCACTCAGGGCACTCACGGGGAGACACAACAGGATTATACCAGAAGGGTCCCTGAGGGGCCTTCCAGCTGAACGGAGCCAAACAGACCAGAACACCAGGGCCCAGAGTGCAGGGTGGTATCAGGGAGAGCAGGGGGGAGGCCAGGCTGGAGGGAGGGCAGGGGGAGGCCAGGCTGGAGGGAGAGCAGGGCGGAGGCCAGGCTGGAGGGAGGGCAGGGGGAGGCCAGGCTGGAGGTAGAAGTCACTGGGTAACCAAGGGCTTCATCTACCCACAAAATGGGCTCGACTTTTATCTTGAGGGTACAAAATCGTGTGCTAAACATAGTTTTTAAAAGGAATATGGTATTATTCCCTTTGGATTTTATAAAGTGTCCAGAGTAGGGGAAAGCGGGTAGGTTGGACATAGTGACACTGGAGGCAAGGGAATTAGTCCAGGAGCTAAGAGGGGGCCTGAACTCCACTCAGAAGAGAAGGCTAATGATCAGGAATTCTAAACAAACTTTGCCAAAATTTGCTGTGTAAATTCCATTGTTTCATTGGTTATCAAGGAGAAAAACTCCCTAATTTCATTCTGTATGAAAGAGCTCAAAATCCTTCGAACATGTTGCCACATGCCACGTAATAAAAGAAGTAATAAAATTAAATTATTCTAAATTGTTTTTAGGAAAAGAATATAAGGGCACCTGGGTGGCTCAGTAGGTTAAGCGTCTGCCTTCGGCTCAGGTCATGGTCCCAGGGTCCTGCGATCGAGTCCCACATCGGGCTCCCCGCTCAGTGAGAAGCCTGCTTCTCCCTCTCCC